TCTTGCATTCAGGATGGTCCTTTGACATACTTGAGTGTGACGATATTTGAGAATTGCTCTCCTGAGAAGCTGAGAGACTTCTACATGGACAATGATTACAGAAAACAATGGGACAAGATGCTGATTCAGCATGAGCAGTTACAGATGGACAAAAACAATGGGGTTGAAGTTGGTCGGACAATAAAAAAGTTTCCACTGTTGACAGCTAGAGAATATGTATTAGCTTGGAGATTGTGGGAGGGGAAGGATAAAACCTTTTATTGTTTTATCAAGGTAACTGCTACCTGAAAATTATTCATACGTAAATAACATCTAGGCAATTTTGAGTTGTGTGAAGTTTAGATTTTCCATGTGCTGGTGGTCCAAATGTTATCTAATGAGTTGATATATATCATATGCATTTCTTTCTCTATCTCTCGCTTTCTCTAGCATAATTCCCTTTTATTTTTTTTACGATTAAGTTTTTTCCTTTGGTTCTCTTCGTCCTTTTAGCACTTATCTGCCTCTCTTTATAAATTACCTGATATGCTTTCCAATAATGGGTGATGACAGGAATGTGAACATCCTTTGGCACCACGCCAGAAGAAGTATGTGCGTGTTCGTACTTTCAGATCTGGTTGGCGAATCCGAAAAGGCAAGATCTCAATGAGTCCAACTTTGTTGTTTATTTTGTATCTACCATTTCAATAAAAGGAAATTTCCTTGTCTTTATGTTTAATTTCAATTAATTATTTTATCCCACGTTGAGCTGCTTTCATATTTATTCAGAAACTCGTACCGTGAACTATAAGGCCTATTTCAAATAGCAAATATGCTTAACTAAGCTCTATACTGCTGAACATGATACAAGTAATTTCTGATAAGGATCAGTAGTTTTCCACTTTTCCTTAATGTACTTGTGGTGGATAAAGAAATGAGTTTTCTTCTTCTTAGGCGCTAGTTGCACGTATCAGGCAAAACACAAAAGCACCACTTACACTTCAAAGATTTCTTTGGCTGAAATTCTGGCAGACTGAATTTTATGAAACAGAAACTGTTTATAATTTTCTGATTTTAATCATCTGTTACAGTGCCTGGTACTAATGCTTGTGAGATCAAGATGTTTCACCAAGAAGATGCTGGTTTAAATGTGGAGATGGCAAAATTGGCCTTTTCTAGGGGCATATGGAGCTATGTGTGCAAGATGGGCAGCGCACTTAACAGATATTCGACAATCAGCTCTCATCAATCAAGTTCTGCTGCTTCTGCTGTCACGTTAATTAGAAGGGTCAGGACAACTTTCTTCGATGGAGTTGTATTGTTTAAATTTTAGGCTCCTAAATTTTAATATACATTGGTTGTCTTGGACTCATGCTACATTTAAGGCATTTCTTGATGGAGCTTTATCCAACTTATCAGGGTACTTGGCTGGTTTCTCATGTATTAATTTCTTTAGAGAGTTAGTTGAGGTAGATGAATTCTCTTGGTCTTATGTAGTAAACTTCCACTCGATGCTTAGTTGTCTAAGCACCGGTCTGTCTCAAGTAACTTGGGCACTGTCTGGGATTCATGTTTTGTATATCTTGTCGGTATTGTGCTGCTTGGTAAGGGTTTCGTGTTTTTTGACTTAAAGGTTCTGACCAACATTGAATGCTGATAATATTGGGTTTGTTTCACCTAGACAAGGTTATTTTACATCCGGAGCATATATTACTACATGTTTGTAGCATTGTGCAGCCTAGATGAAAATTTGAATGTTTGCCTTAACTACTCCGCCCATGCTTGTCTCTGGTGCTTTATAGTGGTGAAACAAATAGTGACCATACTGGGCTTTTCCTGCCCCTATCGGTAACTAGGAGTCTAAGGAACTCTCTAAAGGATGTCTATAGTTTACTATTCATGCTCGTTTCTTTTAATTTTAGAGATGCAAAATATCTGATCTTTCTACATATTTGTAATCTGCATGCTGTTGGTACTGATTGTAATTCTCCTCCACACAGGTTCCCCCTGAATTAGAAGCCACGGATGAAATGACCTCTCAAGCAACCTCAGTAGCAACTTCTGTTTGCAGACCAACCACGGGCGAGGGAAGGAAATTGTCAAGAACACCTTCAAAGAAATTGTTAGCCAATGGCCTGCTGCTTCTTGGGGGAGTGGTCTGCCTGTCTCGTGGTCACTCTAGCCTGGGTGCTAAGGTTGCCATGGCTTACATCTTAACGAAATGGAGTAAGCGTGGCGCTTCAAGTCAAAGCAGTGAAATTTCAGGTGCATGACCTTGTTGCCATCACAAATAATTTTGGACGGCTGAGTAAAGTTTTCTTATCTAGATCATTGATGGGCCATCTACCATGGAAACCAACTACTACGCTCTACTTCTGCAAAAATGAGAAACGGAAGAAGGGTGGAGGGTAGTTCCTTAAATGTTCATCATGCCTTCCAAATCGTATAAATATCTGCCTACCCTTTTACCATATTTATATCCTGATGGCTGGCAATCGGGTTGCACAATGATCAATGGGAAAGGCCTATTGGTTCTGAATCTCCGATGCAACTTTTTCGTTGTAGTCCCAGCAACTGGTCATTCGATGGCCTCTTGCGGGATACAGAGTATAACGTTGTGTGGCTGCAGTCGGGCAGAAGGTTGTATCTGCTCTTGTATGATAACTCAGATCTATCTGCAATAAACTCAAGCTGCTTTTGAAGTTCTCGGAACCGTTGGAAAGGGTAAGGTGTTTGTGCTTTGATGATTAAATTTGTATGGGAGTGTTATACTTACATCCTTCATTTTCCGCATCAGTTATGACCCTGAGGATATGTGTTGGCTTCTTGGTGTATTACGCTCATCCACCCCAATTTCTTTTACACATTATTTATACATCTATATTCTGGAAATTTTTCTTTGGAAATAATAATGTAAGGGGTTCTTCACAAATAAGCTGCCAACGCGAAACTATATTTCGCGGTAAAAACACTCATTGTCTTCGAAGTGATTAGGGTTAATTACATTAATACCTCTTGAGGTTTATCGTATTTTCATGAAAATTCCTCACGTTTGAAACATTATACTAACATCCTATAATGAGGTTCTAATTCATTTTCATATAAACCTTTTGAGGGCTGAAATCACCTTAAAATATTTTTTTAAAGACAGATTTGCCCTCGTTATTAATTACTTAAGAATAAAAAGCTTTCAAAAATAAATATACTAAAAACTCCGAACTTTTTTATTCTATTGTTTTGTCAAAACTCAAAGGTGTAACCTAAACCATGCTCCGCTAACCCAGAGATGAGAGTCGGAGCCACGGCCAATTGCCTCGCAGTATCGCGACGGCTGGGGAAGAATCCACCCCAACCACTGAAGCTCCGAGGTGAGATCCGGATTTTAGTTGGCGTATATGCGTTTGGTTTTTGTTTTAAGGTTTGTGTCAAGGAAGATATATTATTTGTAATTCTGCATACTTACCAAAATTGTGAAGTATACTGAAAATATGTACCCTGCTCCTCGTTATTAATTCCCTTTTTATACTGAAAATATGCATCTACTTTTGGTTGGTGATTGTGTTGAGTAGTAATCGGTACCCTGCTCCTTTTTTTTTTTTTTTTTTTTTTTTTTGAGTACATCAATATTTTTACACTAAGAGAAGGGGAGTTCGGCTAAACCACACAATGTGCAACCTAATTTTGTATCGAATTCGCCATCTATGAGATTCAAATCTAAACCCTCTCACTTCTAGTTGATTTTGTTGAGTAGTAATTTTACTGGTTAATTACCTGAGTAAGTAAATCTAGTATTAATTAATTTATGTGTACTTTTTGATCCGCAAACAAACAGATGAGAAGAAAGAAAGAAAAGCTGTTGAAAGTCGATCCCAACTTGAGGATGATACTCATACTTCAAAGAAGAAACGTTACCGCGAGTCTAAGAAATGCCATTTCAGAAAAAGCCAGTTTTATTATATTTAGTTTTAAAAGGCTTTTTTGTTTTTTTTTTAAAGTAATTAATAATGAGGATAAATTTGTCTTTAAGAAAATATTTGAAAGTGATGTTAGCCCTAAAGGAGTTATGTGAAAGTGATTTAGAACATCAAGGGATGTTAGTGTAATGTTTCAAACGTGAAGGGTTTTTGTAAAAACAAGATAAACCTCATGGGGTGTTAGTGTAATTAACCTCTAAGCGTTATACCCGACATTAGACATTGATAAGTGATTTTTTTTCCTTAATTAATGTTAAAATTACTAATGTCAATTTTTTTAGGTTGACGCAATTTTCTCCATTTGGGATAAATTCTACTCGAATAGTCGAATTAGAAAGAAGGGAAGGGGAAAATAAACTCAAGTCCAAGACCTTGAAATGTGGTAAAAAAAATATTTAAAAACTTAATACCTAAAGTCTTTTACATTCAGGTGTTTGCGTACGTTCTAGTCACATTCAGGTGTTTGCGTATATTTTAATCATGTAAACAACTAAACACTTGTCAGTTGGGTGCGAGATGATAGTTGTCTTGCATACGAGTGTATACATGATTTACATTGTCAAGAAAAAACTGTTGGATATAATGGTTGCACGGTAAATAGTATATTTACAAAATAAAATGTATATATATTTATACATCCCAAAAGGGCAAGATGGGAAATTCAGCTGAACATTTTGAAAACCAGTTGAAAAGGGCGGATTGTGTCCTCACGTTTCGCTGGGGACTGTTGCAAATGCTGTCTTTCTCGACCAATTTTAACTGTACATTGGTTAATGTCTTCTGCTCCTTTTCCTCTTTGTCTCTAATTTAAAACAAAACTCATTCCCTCTTAAAAAAAAAAAACCACCCCAGATATTCCAACAATATTCGCCAAAACAATTAAACAAATTTAATGTTATTTAGGGTTGTCTTTTTTCTCTTTGTTGCTTCTTAATCGATCAATGTTGAATCAAATCTAAACCACATAACCCATCATTTTTTTTTGTGATTTATTTATTTATTTATTTTTGTTTCTGGGTTTTGCTTCGATTTTTTGTGCCGGAAAGGATGATCCACTTCCACAACATTCTGGTGTTGTGGGTTGTTTTATTAGGGTTCTTCGCAACCGGTGTTTATTCCAAGACCAATTCTCAAGATGGTAAGTCTCAAATTTGTTTTGGTCTGATTTATGTTAGTGTGTAGTTTCTTGGGTTTAGAACCTAAAATTCAGGCTCAATGTTACAACGATGAGAATTTCTTTGTCATATTGAGAATTTTTTTTTTAAGAAACATATGCTAATCACGTATTACTAGTAGGTTACTACAATTACAAAATTAATCAGGTGAAAAGATCGTGAGAGATGTTCGTCATATGATCAATTGCAAAGGCACAAGAAAATTTGCTTCAGAAACATTTCATAACGGCCTCTAGATTTTTAGCTTCCTCCAAACATTTCCAATGTGCAATTTTTCGGGTGGTTTTTACCTCTTATAGGCTTACATTCCGTTAAAAGATCTAATGAAGATAGGTACTTACATATTTTCCCATATCGACATTCTGATGTTTTTGTGTATCTTGCAGTATCTGCCCTTAATGTGATGTATAACAGCTTTCAATCTCGTTCTAAACTAAAAGGTTGGAAATCAAGTGGCGGTGACCCTTGCGGCGAGTCATGGAAAGGGATAACATGCTCAGGCTCATCTGTAACCGAAATGTATTTCTCATTTCAAACACACATCAAGACTTACATTAAATGTCTCCAGTTCACAAGTTAAACCTATTTTCCATCGAAATTTTTGCAGAGACTTGTCTGACCTGGGGCTCAGTGGATCAATGGGATACCAGCTTGCAAGCTTAACATCTGTCACTAAATTGTAAGGCTTAGCTCATTAGAATAGGCGTTTTTCTTTTTGTTCGGTATTCTTTTCAAAGCGCATAAGCTGACGGATGTGCATTCTTCGTCATAGTACAGTGATTTAAGCAAGAACAACCTCAACGGTGATATACCCTATCAACTGCCCCCTAGTGCAAAGTATATGTAAGTCCGCAGACAAACATTTCATATTGTATTACACTGTGTTATAGTTTGTGCGCGCACGTGTGTAGAGTATTTCCATCGTTGTCAATACTAATCTCATGACCTTCATGTTCAGAGATCTTTCTCAAAATGGTTTTTCGAACACAGTACCGTATTCAGTATCTCAGATGTCTGGCCTTGAAACCCTGTAAGTAGAACATGCTCTGAGTTCACATAATGTTCTAACGAAGTCACTTCCATTTCTAAACATTCTTTCGGTGAATGCAGAAATCTTGGTCGTAACAAGCTTAACGGACAGTTGAGTGATATGTTTGGCAAACTTACTAAACTCAAAGAACTGTAAGTTCTTCTAAACTTTGCATCAAAGGTCCCACTTTCATATTTTAACCTGATTACTTGAAATTTATTCAGAATGTAATCAGTAGTAGTTCTTCTTTCGTATTCGACAGTTAATTTTTCCCTCCGGTATTCTCTTTTTAGTTCTGACAGATATTTGCTGCTATACTTTAAGGGTTAGTGACTAACTCGTATATCACGAAATCATGTGCAGGGATCTATCTTACAACTCAATAACTGGCAACTTGCCTCAGAGTTTTGGAAAGCTTTCAAGCCTCAAAAAATTGTAAGAAGCATTAAATCCTCTAAATTTATATTTATACGTTTTCTAGGTTCCTGGTTGGTAAGCCCCTTATGTCTTTGTGCAGGTATCTGCAGAACAATCAACTTACCGGTCAAATCAACGTGCTTGTGAACACTCCCGTTGAGGAATTGTACGTGTCTTTGATCTAGATTTCTGTTCTACAAATGAAATTCATTTAGCAAAACATCTTATAACATGTTTTGTTTCTTAAACACTTATTGAAATTTAAAAAAAACAACTTTGATTTTCGTTATGTACCAGCTACAGTTAGTAACATTTTTTCACACAATGAATTCATTATTGTGCTGGCAGGAATATCGAAAACAACCGCTTTTCTGGCTGGATCCCCAACGATTTGAAGGGTATAAACATAAAGTGAGTATCTCTTTCAAAGATCAATGTAGGTATGCAGTGCTTAAGAATTTTTTTTTCTGACTTAATCTAATCGAAGGTCTGGAGGAAACTCCTGGTCGTCTGGACCATCTCCGCCTTCTCCTCCTGGTGCGCACCGCAATAGAGGGTCAGGCAAAAGGAGTGGCAGCAGCAACTCTTCTGTAGTCGCTGGAGTAACCATAGCTGGGATAGCTCTTGGCGTATTGTTGCTGCTTGCAATTATAATTGCGCTGTTTTCAAGAAGAAAACGTTCTTCTTCGCATCTCCTCGATGATGACAGGCTTAGCCAGCGCAAGTCGTTTCGCACCTATTCATCTAAGGATTTATCTAAAGAATTGACTTCTGACTACAAAGGTAATTTGTTTGTTAATAAATTTTTTTTGGTGGATAATATAACCAGTATTGTCTTCAGAGTGTCTTTCTCCCCTTTTTCCTGTCCCTTGAGTGTCCTTTGATTTATTCAATCCAAAGGCTAGAAAAAAGGGGCGAGTGCAGAAGGGGACAAAAAGAGCGTGCGTAAATCATTTCTCTATTCTTATATGGATTTAATTAACTTTCTACTATAGTTTTCTTGTTACGTTGTAACGTGGGATCACTCTCGACTAACTAGACGATATGCTGTTGATAGATTCTGCAGCCGTTTCAATTGACATAAAGCCTGTTTCAAAATCTCCATCAATTGGTTTCAAGTCACTGTCTGGCCGTTTGCAATCCTTTGCCAGAAGAAGCACCTCTGTAAAAGCTACCGCTTACGCTTTGGCAGATTTGCAGGTTGCTACTGCTAACTTTGCACCAGCTCGCCTTCTCGGGCAGGGCTCCATTGGACGTGTTTACAGGGCTAAATATGATGATGGGAAGGTATATTTTATTATCATTATATGATTGCTATTTCTCTAGCTATACTTATATGTTCATGTTAAAATTTTGTTTCCAATAATTCTATGCCACATATGTATCAGGTTTTAGCCGTTAAAAAGATTGATTCCTCACTTTTTCAAGGCTCACCACCGCAAGAATTTTCTAACATTGTCGTAAACATCTCCAAGATTCGTCATGCCAACATCGCCGAACTTGTTGGCTATTGCTCAGAACACGGGCACAACATGTTGATTTATGAGTACTTCAGAAATGGCTCGCTTCATGAATTCTTACACATGTCGGATGACTATAGTAATCCCCTAACTTGGAACACAAGAGTCAGAATCGCTTTAGGCACTGCCCGGGCTGTTGAGTAAGTGAATATATATACTTGTATATCTAGCAATTAGCTATTTTCATTTACCAGGATTTCTTGTAATAATTTAGTAAACTCTTTGTAAATTGTTTCCAGGTACCTCCATGATGGTTGCTTTCCATCCACAGTTCACAAGAACATCAAATCATCCAATATTTTGCTTGACATCGAACTCAATCCCCGTCTTTGTGATCATGGCTTGGCAACATTTCACCAGGTTAATTCCCGTCACTCTTCAAACTAAATGCAATCTTTCATAGATAGGATATTCGGGCTTTGCTGTCTATAGAGAATACGATTATTTTTATGTACTGATGATGATTTCTCCTCCTGTTTTTTTCAGCGTACTAGCCAAAACCTTGGGATGGGATACAATGCTCCAGAATGCACAAAGCCGTCAGCGTATACAGCAAAGAGTGATGTTTACAGTTTTGGAGTAGTCATGTTGGAACTATTGACAGGTCGAATGCCTGTTGACAGGTAGGTTAGATTTGCTTCTCACTCTCCCTTGCATTCGCTAACATTGTCAATGTCATGCAATTCTAAACTGGTTTTGTTCCTCTCTTTAGTTCAAAACCACCAGTGGAGCAGTGCCTTGTGCGATGGGCAACTCCCCAGCTTCATGATCTCGACTCACTGTCACAAATGGTTGACCCTGCACTGCGTGGACTCTACCCTCCCAAGTCAGTCTCGCGGTTTGCTGATATTGTTGCTATCTGTGTTCAGGTAATTACTAGTGGCTTAGATGCCTTAAAGCCACTGGCTAGGCTTAACTTTAATTTTGGGATATAGTACTGCGATTTGTACCACATTTACGGATCATTACCATCCTGAACAGTTCTCTAATAGAGGTGGGTCGCAAGTAGTTAGTAAATGTAGTACAGATAACATTATTCGAACAGTACATGAACAATTCTCTTGAAAAAAATAAACTGCTTTTTCAATATTGATTCACTTATGCTTTTACTCTTTTCTATTCGGGAAATGGCAAAAGATTTGTTCATTAACTTTTATTCCTTTGCATCTATCAGCGGGAGCCAGAATTTCGGCCACCGATGTCAGAGGTGGTGCAACAGTTGGTGCGGTTAGTGCAGAGCTCTACTACGAACATGAGGGAGGATTTTGGTCTCGGGTCTCATAACTCTAGTGCCATGAGCAGCAAGAGAGAAGATCTTGCAGCTTCTCGTCGCTTGACTGACTTTTGATGATGGTAGCGACGATCGAGAGGACAACGGTTTTCATTTTGATCAATATCGTGTAAGCATAAAAGAGACAGATTGAGTCAATTCTTTGAAATGTTTTTCTCTGTCTGCTCTAGCTGCCCAATATTTTAAAACAGATTTACTTCAAAATTATTCTCATGAATTATGGGCCCTAAAAGTTCTCCGAGGCATTTTAGCTTGTTCATTATAGAGAAGCAGATTTGAGAAAAAAAAAAAAGGTTATTGGAAATTGATCATGGGGGAGAAGTACAACGGGAAATTCAGGAAAGTAAAACATGTTCGGGGTGTGACCTAAGAATTTTGTTTTAGAGGAAGAGTCTTGTTCAAGGAAACCGTCTCTCCTAAGGTTAGGAATTAATATTGTAATTTAATTCTGATTGGATTCATAATTTGTACAGATCCTTACTTGTACGTCAATATAAGCGATTGTATATATATGCCTTTGTGCTATGAATATAATTACCAAGTTTATAATTTCTTTATGGTATGAACGAGCTAAGGTTGCAACTTGTGCCGCAGCCCTTCCCCCCCTCGACCTAAATTTTTTTGCTTTCTCCTTCCACCACGGCAGCCGCTTCCTCATCCTCTTGAGCTCCCTCTCTTCCTTCTGGACCTAATGTGACTCACTTCTTCAAGCTTACAGAGACTAATTTTCTCAACTGGACGTGTCAGATACGTCCCTTCTTGATTGCTCATGATCTTTTCTCTCATGTTGATGGCTCCTCCTCTGCACCTAACACCGAGCTTCCTGCTACTGATAATGCTTCCGTCAAGCCTAATCCTGAATATGTTTCGTGGTATAAAACTGATCAACCGGTGTGCAGCTACCTTGTTTCTACTCTCTCCGAGTGTATTTCTCTCAGTGGTGGCTGGCCTTGACTCTGCTAAGGCTGATTAAGATTGTCTCCATCAACACTTTTCTTAAGTCTCCGTGGCTGACGCTGGTAATCACGTTTCCTCCTCCTTGATCTGCAAAAAAGGACTCGCTCTATTCATGCATCAGACTAAAAGCAACCACCCGAAAGTCGAAAACTACTTTCATTCGTGTTAACATACCGTCCTTGATGACGTGGTTGAATGCATGCATATCACATAAGCAAAATTTTGGTCATTTTTTCCGATCTTTCAGCTAGCTTATGTCATGCATATTATTGGTAAGCTTGATGGTGATCGCATTAACCTTCTCTGCAAGCACGACATGTAGAAAATGTCATCATCAAACAGAAGTTCGATATTATCCACGTGTCCCATCTTTATTTGCGTGTTTGTGTTGGTTTGGTAGTGCAGCCTGCATACGAAAGTACAAAATGGAACAGAAAAAGGGAGGGCGAGAAATTTATCAATGTCGTGATTATGTTCTCATTGTTGAAGTTATGTGATTGTATAATTTATCTATGTCGTGGATTACCTATTGTCAGCATAAATATATGGCTATTTTGGTATATTTTAAAAAAGGATACATGACATCAGTTTGGTTAACTCTAATCAATTAGTTTCACAGGAAAGTCCATTTTGAAGAAACTACTTAGGTGGAATGTGTTGATCTAATCCCTTTTGTACATAGATAGCCAAAAGATTTACAATTTTTAATTTTTTTTAAGGGAAAATTAGGTTCACATCCTTCTTTTTGTTACTCCATTGATTAAAATCCTATTCATTTTGAATTTTTTTTTAAATTTGTAGTATTTTCTTTTTAGTTTTATTTTGTACCCATGTATTAATTTCTTTTATCGCCTATATTTTTTAAAATTCATTTGTACTCATAATTTTTAATCTTTTATCTGTACCCAAATTTATTTATAATGTACCCATTCTTCTTTATTAATGTACCACTTTGTTATATGTGAAATGTACCAATTTTTTGGTAAAATGTACCCTCTTTTTTTAACACTATGGATACATTCTTTTGCCATTTATTATTTCTTATTTTCACATAGTTTTTATCCATTTATTCAATCAAAATGTTTGAATTTTTTTATTGTAACTGTTTCTAATAGTATTATAATGAGGGATTTTAAATTTATAGGATTATAAATCTCATAAAATATCAAACAATTAATGTCAAAACTATAAAAATATAAATATTAATAGTAATATAATGAGGTGTACAAAGTCAAGGGACCTTGATCAAACTTTGAATACTATTAAGGTTTTAATCAAAGAATGTTAAGAATTAGGGACCGCATCCAAAGTATCTTTTTTTTTAATATTAATAACATTAATCTTCTATGACATAACCTTTTATATCTTTCAAACATAATGTTTTATACAATTTATATTTCCACAGCAACGGACGGGCAACATTTCTAGTTCATTCTACTCTTTGTGTGCTGTACAATGATTATCTTATGTTTGTGGTCTCCATTCTTAACATGCCTGCATTGCCAACTGTTTGATTTGTGACCAAATTCTATTGGGCTTTAATTGATCTCACCAGCCCATTCAATGGGCCTCTTATTTAGCCCATTTGAAAAGCCACGTGAGATGGCTAGGGTGTTAGTTGGCAGCTGCTGCTATCTGCTGTTTTTTTCTTGATAGCAGCAGCGGGAAAAAAAAAATAAAAAATAAAAAAGATTAAAGGGGTGCCGCAGCCCATTTTGGAGATAAAAAGAAAGTGTGCTCCTCTCACTTGGTTAGCACTTACTTAATCAAAGTTGTATTTGTGTATTATTCACTTTGAGCTTTGTATAGAAAGGAAATTATTCATTATATTTTCTTCTCTATTTGTTTCTTTGGTGAGTGAGAGTTAATGGATGTATTGAGGCGTTGGGTTGTGAGATTGCCAACACTTTGTAAACACTCTCATTTGATTGATAGTGGATTGTTAGGTGAGCTTCTAATGCTTCGAGGATTTACTTTAATTACACTGACTGTCGAAAAACCTGGTCAAATTTTGGTGTCTTTTTTATTTTTGTTCTTGCATTTCATTTGATATATTTCATGGGGGTTAGTTTGAGTTGACTTCCAATTGGTTTGGTGCTATCCTAACATAACACCCACCTTTGTTGATCTGCGTCAGCGGCTCCTCGCCCATACGGCACAGGCTGCACGTCTCCATGCTTCCTCTGCTGCCTATGCTTTTCTCGCTCCCCAAAAATATCTACCCATTGTGGGATCTTGCAGAATACCGCAAGTGGTTCCAGTGCCATCCAAACCCTGAATTTCGCTGACCGTATTGTGTAACTCATCCAAAATAGTCAATCAGTATATTTACCCACCGTGGAGAACTATTTTATGAGGGTTCATGAGCTCAATGACTAGTGGTCTCGAGAAAATATGTATATATACAAAGAGTGTGCGAATCAGTATATTAGGAAGTAAGTTTTATTTATTGAGAAATCAATGTAATGCAGTTAACAAACTGAAAATTACTCTATTTTGGTTTGGTGCTACAAATCTCTGTTTATTTTGGAATCGTACTACAGACGACCTTTGTTGGAAGCCAGCCATGTTGTGCTTTGGCCGGTCAGTGCAAAATCAAATTCAGATTATATCATCAAGATACAGATTTACAGTTGAACAGAATAAAATATAAGAAATAAAGACATCGAGAAATTTATGAGATTCGGCAAAAACCTGTTTACGTCCCCGGAGAGATATTAGTCTTCACTATGAGAATAACAGTACAAGTTATACATGAGTTAAATCAACATAACCCAATCTCAAATCCCTTGTACACCCACTCACAGAATTTTCCCAAGAGCCTCACTCTACCCCAAGAGTTCTTTCACTAGAATACTTTTCACTCTAGCTCTCTTGATTTTCTCTCAACCCATGTTCAACCTTTCCCATGGGAGAGCCGGATCCCTTGGATGCTTCTATGATGCTTACCTTCCCACTTTCCAAGCATACTAAATGCATGCTCTCCCCCTTGGATGCTTCTAAGATGCTTACCTTCCCACTTTCCAAGCATACTAAATGCACAAATATTGCATCTAGTTACAGGCATACAATAGCAAGCATGCCAACAACCAAGACCAAAAAGTCTTAAGTTCACATGACATAATTGTCACCTGGCCTACCTAGCATGCACCAAAGTCTATACCTAGCCTATAGAGTACAACTTTTTCTCCATTTGCCATTTATTGCATAGAAAATAAAACATGCACAATTGCGTGCAAGCAAACACAAAGTCAAGACTTGCTTCCAACTTTTCTTGTGGCAGTCACCATGTCTTCTCTTGAAACAAGATTTCCATGCCACAACCGAAAGCCAAACACAAAGTCACCAATGGCTGCTGCCATTTCCATGTAGCATTCAGAAAGTTACACTACCAAAATTGTTACCAACTCATAAGTATATGAGCCAAACACAACAATCCCACATCGGTAAGAGGGAGAGGAGAAAAGTAATTTAAACAGGATTATCCTACTTTAATAATATCGAGATTTTTTATGATAAAATCTCATACTTGACTGATTGGACATGTGGTAAAGTGGAGACAGTATCGGTGTTGTTGGAGTGAGCTCTCGGCCTGATGACTTGAAAAATTCTACATGATATCAGAGCCAGGAGATGGACCCACGTGCACAGCCAGAGGCGTGTTGGAAGCCAGACATCCCACATCGAGGAGGAAAGCAATTTAAATAGGATTACCCCACTCTAACTAACACTAATACCTTTTGGAGCTGGCCTTCGGCCCATCGACCTCAAAAAAATTCTACAACCTTTGATGTCAAGAATGGGGTGACTTGGAATTTACAGCTCATTCATAGGGTTTATCCTTTTGGCTTGTCCTTCCTTTCATTGCTTTATAATGAATTTTATGGACTGCAATGTTTGATGATAGCTGGGGATATGTTTCCTTCGCCAAAGCAGTTAAACATTTGTTACTTAAGTTAAATAATGTAGTGTTTTATTTATTTATTTATGATATTCTAATATATCGGTAGTCAAGTTTGTTGCAACAATATGCTTCTCCTTTTACATATGAGTTTATAGGGGAGGAAAGCAATTTAAATAGGATTATCCCATTCTAACTAACACTGAGATCTTTTGTGATAAAACCTCACATATGACAGATTGGGCAAGTGATAAAGTAAGGACAATATTGGTGTTGTTGGAGTAGGCCCTCGGCCTGTCGACCTAAAAAATTCTACAACCTTTGATGTCAAGAATGGCGTTTGGGACTTAGAACTTACAGCTCATTCATGGGGTTTATCCTAGGGGTGGGCAAACGAGTATAGGAACCGCGGGTCGGGACAGGTAATCATGGTTCGGGATAGGTACGGGATGGTTCCTAATTTTTAAAAAGAGAAACTGGCTGGGGAAGGGCGGAGCTTTGGAATGTTTGGGGCAGGTCGGGTCCAAAAGTAAAAAAAAAAAGTACCCGGACTGATCCGTTTGTAACATCCCAGTTTAAAAACATTATTGTCTCCTAGGCCACTTCCTTTTTTCCTCCCCGTGGGCGGTGACAGTTCTCAATCTCAAGAACATTGTCTCATTCTCTCTCTCTTTCTCTCTCTCTCTCTCTCAAGTCGATGCTCTTTCCACTCTGAGAACACACACACCATTTCCCCATATTTCCCCTTCCCCCAATCTCTCGAACCTTCTCCCTCATTCCCCTTCCCCTTGCCCCTATCTCTGCAACTCTCCTTCCCAGAGCACAGATACACCACACCCACACCCCACCACGACCTCTACCACAGTGGCGCACACTCCGGCGAGCACTATCACCACCTGTGGATCGTTCCTCCTCCCTTTCTCACCTTTCGGCGAGCACCATTAGGCAAGGGGAGGCCTTGTTTAGTCCGTACGAGGTGAAAGACCTATCAAACTCAAGTGGGTTTTGGGATCCGGAGAAAATGGATTACTCACTTTGATGGGTCTGAGCCTGGATTGCAGAGAGAGGCTCAGATCTTGGCAGCTGCGACGATGGAGCCTCGTTTGCAGCTGTGACGACGGAGCTTCCACCATTGTTGTCCTTCGATTAGTAGACTCAATTGCATCCACTCCCACGAAGCAGTGGATGCCTATCGTGGTCAGATTGTGGGTCTCCATGCCTGGAACCGACACAGCGGTTGAAGTCAAATTGTGCCTATTCTCAGTTTATAAATTATATAAAAAAAAATTTTAAAAAAAAGAGTTGGACCCGTGGGGCGGGGCGTGGCGAGTCTAGTAAATAACGGATCAGGTAAAGCCGTGTTCCAAAACTCAAAATCCTTCTACCCGGACCGACCCGCCCCGTTACATTTTAAAATGGGTAGGTCTGGTTCCTTCAAAAATGGGCCTGGCCCGGCCCGGCCCGTGCCCAGCCCTAGTTTATCCTTTTGGCATGTCCTTCCTTTCATTGCTTTATAATGAATTTTATGGACTGCAATGTTGGATGATAGCTGGGGATATGTTTCCTTCCCCAGAGCAATTAAACATTTGTTACATAAGTTAAATAATGTAGTGTTTTATTTTTATTTTATTTTTATGATATTCTAATATATCGGTAGTCAAGTTTGTTGCAACAATATGCTTCTCCTTTTACATATGAGTTTGTAACTTATGGTAATGGGGCTTCCATATAATATATATATATATATATATGAAAATATGACTTTAGCCCATGGAACTCAATTTTCTCCACATAAAACTTGACGTAAATTTTTTGCTCAAATAAAACCCCATTGACTAGACTCCACATAAGCAAATTCATTAATTATGTTTGACTTTATCCATTTAAAA